CCCACCCACACCCCACACACCTACACCCCCCCCACACACACACTCTGGAGCTGTCAGTGACCCCGGCCATTGTGTGAAGCCAGGTGGCTTAGATCCGAAGGGGCTCAGAGACCCTGGGCAGAAAGGGCTGGCAGTGGCCTGTCCCGACCCATGGCCCCGAGGCCCACTTGCTGAACAAACACCTGGAATTACAGACAGGTCACTTCCTCCCACGTTGCTCCAGGTCAGAGATCCCGAGGCCTGTCTTCCTTCTTTCTACACGAGCAGAACACCCCGAGCGAGCACTTCAGAACATGTAGCCACATGCTTCCCGCCAACTGCCCGCTTTCAGATGTGTGTGCGCGCGCGCGCGCACGTGTGTTTTGGTTTTGCTTTTCAATTTTAATCAGCCGTAGAGCAGTCTTCATTCGCAGCCTGCCCTTCCCTCACCAGCCACAGAACTTTCTAGAAAAAAGCATGGCTGCCAGAACCAGGCACAGGAAGTGCTTGGGAGATACCCAAGGAAATGATGTGGCTCAAGATAGGAGGTGGGGGCGGGGGGCAAAGGGGGCTGGGGAGGGAGCGCAACCAAAGGAACATCAGGAGCCCGAGCAGCTGCGCCTCACAAAGCCGTTACCGAGAGCGGCTGAGGCCAGGTGAAGGGCCAGGTGCGCTCTTTAAGTGCAAGATCTGTGGTCATGTAGGACGCGGCCCTTCCGCTGTGTTACTGGCTTCTGTGTCAGAGCGAGGCTTTTTATTTGCCTCCTTACTGATGGCTGAGTTTTCCTGCCTTGTTCTAAAATGGGAGTGGAGGTGTCGGCTTAAACAGAGCTATTGGCCTGTTCTTCTTGTGAGGCTGTGAGAAGTAAAATGGTCAGCTTCCCCATGAACTAACCAGCCCACGGCAGGCCGTGGGCATCCTCAGCTGACCCAGGGGGAGCCTGGCACCTTCTGGTAGCTGAGTGACCTTGGGGAGGGGAAGGGGTCGGTGGCCTGTCGTTCCCACCGTCTGTCAGTATCATGACCCCCCAGGCTGTGGGAAGGCCTCCCTGCTAGTTTCCAGTGTGGGCAGCTGATAGACCCAGACGTAGTGGGAGACGGAAATTACCCAGACACCCCAGAGAAAGAAAGGGGCCTCCTGGAGCCCTGTAAACGAGAGGGGAGGCTGGACGTCACGATTCTCTTTTGATTGCTGTCTCACCACCACCAGACACGGGACCACAAAGTAGTCTCACCTGTGAGCTAAGCATGCACTTATCGCCAACCTTGTAAAGCTTGTCTGGGTTCTTAGTGTTGGCTGTTTGGGCCTGGCTGGTGCTGGTGGCCTGCCAGCCTCCACCATGGCCCTGGGACAGGGCGGCACAATGCATTTTTGTGACACTGTTACGTCTGTGAGGGGAGTTGTCAGTACTTTCTAGACGGGCTCACAGGCCCACACTCATGACTCAAGCCCTTAGCTGGACCTTTGGCCCCTGGGTGGGAGCCCTGGTGGCGGCATAGTGGTTACACATTGGGCTGCGATCCACATAGTCGTCAGTTCAAACCCACCAACAGTTTCCCAGGAGAGAGGCTGGGCTTTCTACTCCTGTCTACAGTCACAGGACCAGAAGTCCACAGAGTGTCGCTGTGAGTCAGCGTGGTCTCGATGGCAGTGAGCTTGGTTTGGGTTGGTCCCTGGATGTTAACGGTTGGCTTCCGAATGGCTGCTGGGAGGGCAGCCCTCATAACCCCACCTGGACTTCTGAGGTGGAAAACAAGAACTGTTCGTGCTCTGGGATTCCAGAAAGCCCTTCAGTCCCTAGTAGCACTGCGGTGCTGTGGTGCTATGGGGTGGCCATTGGATTGCTAACTAACTGCAAGGTCCGCAATTCAAACCCACCGGCCACTCCAAAAGAGAAAGCGGAGGCCATCTGCTCCTGTAAAGATTTGGGGGCTCAGAAACTCTACATAAGGTCCCCGGGGGGTGGGTTTGGGGATTTTTTAAAGCTTCTGACTCCTTGTTGAAGCTGGGTGTGGCCATCTAGTGACACTGTCAGGGGAGTCCCCTGGGCGGCTGTGATGTTTAAATCTGCCCAGGCCAGTGGGGTTTGGAAAAACATAAGGTGTGCTAGGATCCTGGCTGTCTCAACTGTCTCTGGGGCGGTCTTCCTTCTGACGGTTCCTTCGCTGGCCAGCGTGTGTGAGGACAGAGGCAGGGCCTGTCCGTACCTGTCTCTTGTCTGGGAGGAGCTCCGAGTGCTTCAGCTTGGCGAAGAAGCCAGCTGCAGCCCTGCTTGGGGGAGGGCAGCCAGCACACAGCCCGTTTGGTAACTGCCCAAGACAAAGGCTGTGAAGTCCTGGCCCAATGGGACCTGACCCGTGTCCCAAACTGGTCACTGGTGCAGGGCCACCAGGGCCCATGTCTCCAACACAACAAACTGCGCATGCAGCTGTCCGCCCTGTTAGACTTGGAATCATTTCAAAATTAATTAGCTGTTTGACAAAGGACTTTGGAACGCTCCTTTTGCTGCATGTCTCCTGACCCCCCGCCCCGGGGGGCTGGGGTGGTGGTGGTGTCTGATGCACGCTAACTTCTCCATCGAGGCGGGGTGTGTGGATGAGAACCAAGGGGAGGGGTGCTAGCACCCAGGTGTCACAACAGTGTCCTGTAGGCGTTCTCTCGGGCTGTAGGTTTCTTCTGTTTTCTAGCGTCCTTGCCGGTCTCTGCCCTCTCACACGCTATAGCTTCCCATCACTAGATCCCTGTGAATCGCAGCTGTTTCTTGTCAAGAAAAAAAAAAAGGTGTTTTCTGGACAGTTGTTTGATGGGTTTTTGTAGAACTTCCTGGAATGAGACGTCCTTGGAATAAGTGCTTCTGCCCCAGAGGTGGTTTTGTCCCTGCAGGGGACATAGTCTGCTCTGTCCTGCCAAGGTTGCTGAGACAGAATGGACTGGAGAGAGGGTAGGGGGTGTTTTGTTTTGACGGGGCTGCTATGAGTTAGAATCCACTGACAGTTTGGGGCTTCTAGTCTGTGGACCATTGCCCAGTCTGGGTCCCTGGGTGAGAAAAGTGTATTGTGTTGTACTATGAAACAAAAGGTGGGTGGTTCGAATCTCCCCCTGCAGCATCTCAGAAGAAAGACCTGGTGGAGTTTTCCTAGAATCACAGCCGTTGAAATCTCTATGGGGCACAGTGCTGCCCTGAAACACAGTGGGGCCACTGGGGGTCCAAATCACCTGTCCGTCAGGAGGATTTGTGGTTGGGAGACTTTTTTCATCACCAGGTTGCTTATGGTATGTAGTCAGTTCCAATTCATAGCAACCTGATAGGGCAGGGCAGAACTGCCACGTGTGGGCCTCAGGGAGCCTGGTGGTTTCAAACAGCCGACCTTGACATCCGCAGCCCAACCTGCATCCCTTGCGCCACCAGAGCCCACCTTAAAATGCTTAAGGGCTTAAAATGCTTAAGCCCTTCCCCTCCCCCTTCCCCCAACAGAGTCCCAGAGCTCCAGGTTAACCACGCCCACCTTGAGAAAACCTGCCCCGATGGTGCCTGGGAAGAGAGCTTGGTATGGCTGAAATGTTCTAGACTAACCCTGAACAGGGGAGCAGAAAGCCTCCTCGGTCTCACGGGGTGGGGGGTGGGGGCGGTTCCAGCTGCTGACCTTAGGTTAGCAGCCCAAGGTCCGAGTCACCCCCTGGGTAGCCAGGGCTCCTGCCTTCTGTGGGAGGAGCCAACCTTTATAAAATACCACTATGGGACAAGAGAGGGGCCCTGGTGGCATGGTGGTTACTTGTTGGGCTCCTGATCACCAGGTCAGCAGTTCAAAACCAGCAGCCGCTCCTAGGGAGAAGGATAGGCCTTTCTATTCCTGTAAAGAGTTACAGACTGGGAAACCCACCGGCCCGGTTCTAGGGTCAACGCGATGAGCTGGCTTCGACTTGGCAGTGAGTTTCCTTTGTTTGGGGTATTTTGTTTGTTTATGGGACAATAGGTATTACATAAATGAGCTCCTGGGGGCACGGTGGTTACACATTGGGCTGCTAACTGCAAGGTCAACTGCTCAAATCTACCAGGCGCTCTGAGGAAGAAATAAGGGGCTTTCTACTCCTGTAAGAGAGGAAAACTCGACTCCTCTAGGTCTCGACAACTCACAGGGCCAGTTCTGCTCTGCACTGCAGGGTCGCCGTGGGTCGGCATCGCCTGGATGGCAGGGAGTCACAGTTACACCGGGGAGAGTCAGGGTGGCACGGTGGTTAAGTGCTTGGCCGCTAACTGAAAAGTCAGTGGTTCGAGCCCACCTGCTGATCTGCAGGAGAAAGATGCGGCAGCCGGCTTCCATAACGATTACCAAACCCAACCCAATTCACTGCCATCGAGTGAGTTCCGACTGAGAACCACCGTGTGAGAGTCCCACTTAGGACTCTCAAGGGCAGGGTTTTAGGGTGGCTGGAACAGGCCTCCTTACCTAGCCTCTGGGAGCAAGTGTGAGGATGGACATGCCTTTTCCTTGGAGGATGGGGAAGGTGGGAAGACCAGGCGTAAGGAACAGGGATCTCTGTCTGAGGCTCCTTGGCAGGCCTGGGCTTTGAGCTAGGACACCCCCCACCTCCCACCAGCCCTTGGGTGGATGGAGAAGAGCCAGCGGTCCCCCTTCTTTGAGCTCCAGAGCTGGTGATTTGGGGCCCTCATGATGCAGTGGCTAAGTCTCTTAGCTGCCAACCAACAAGTCAGGGTTGGAACCCTGCTGCCCTCTGGGAGAAAGCCCATGGGCAGCACAGGGCAGCTCCGAGGTGGCCCAGCGCCCTCCTGGCCTCTCTCACCTGTGTCCGCCTCTCTGCCCTGTGTCTCCCCAGGTAAAGACGAGCCTTCCAGCTACATTTGCACAACATGCAAGCAGCCCTTCACCAGCGCCTGGTTCTTGCTGCAGCACGCGCAGAACACGCACGGCTTTCGCATCTACCTGGAGCCGGGCCCGGCCAGCAGCTCGCTGACCCCTCGCCTCACCATCCCGCCGCCGCTAGGGCCCGAGGCCGTGGCCCAGTCCCCGCTCATGAATTTCCTGGGCGACAGCAACCCCTTCAACCTGCTGCGCATGACGGGCCCCCTCCTGCGCGAGCACCCGGGCTTCGGGGAGGGCCGCCTGCCCGGCACGCCGCCCCTCTTCAGCCCGCCGCCACGTCACCACCTGGACCCACACCGCCTCAGTGCCGAGGAGATGGGGCTCGTCGCCCAGCACCCCAGTGCCTTTGACCGAGTCATGCGCCTCAACCCCATGGCCATCGACTCGCCCGCCATGGACTTCTCGCGGAGGCTGCGGGAGCTGGCGGGCAACAGCGCCACGCCGCCGCCCGTGTCCCCGGGCCGCGGCAACCCTATGCACCGGCTGCTGAACCCCTTCCAGGCCAGCCCCAAGTCCCCGTTCCTGAGCACTCCGCCGCTGCCCCCGCTGGCCCCCGGGGGCACCCCGCCGCCGCAGGCCCCCGCCAAGAGCAAGTCGTGCGAGTTCTGCGGCAAGACCTTCAAGTTTCAGAGCAACCTGATCGTGCACCGGCGCAGCCACACGGGCGAGAAGCCCTACAAGTGCCAGCTGTGCGACCACGCGTGTTCGCAGGCCAGCAAGCTCAAGCGCCACATGAAGACGCACATGCACAAGGCGGGCTCGCTGGCTGGCCGCTCCGACGACGGGCTCTCGGCGGCCAGCTCCCCGGAGCCCGGCCCCAGCGAGCTGGCCGCCGAGGGCCTCAAGGCGGCCGACGGCGACTTCCGCCACGAGAGCGACCGGTCGCTGGGCCACGAGGTGGAGGAGGAGGAGGAGGAAGAGGAGGAGGAGCTGGAGGAGGAGGAGCTGCTGCTGGAGAACGAGAGCCGGCCGGAGTCCAGCTTCAGCATGGACTCGGAGCTGAGCCGCAGCCGCGAGAACGGCAGCCACGTGGGCGTGGGCGTGGGCGGCGTGGGCGCCGG